GAACACGTCCAACACTTGTTGGCTGCTTGTGCTCTTTAGGTCAGACGTGTGTCGGGAAGCTCCTCTTTTGAGACGCTGGGGGAACTGGGAATGTGGCTCGACCTAACACCGGTCTCTGTTTAATGGTGGATGAAATAAAGAAAGTGGCGGTACTTTATTTACTTTGAGCAAGCGAACATCATGTTCACAAGATAATTAATCCAGCAGATAATTCAGAGGCGGTCTGTTTGGTAAATTTTACTCCAGGAGCATCGAGGCTTGTTTTCAAGCTTCAGACTGAACTGAAGCAGCGGCTGCTGACGTCATTACGCTCTTGCGCGATGCTGCGTTCAGGACAATCATGAAAAACTCACCAATCTTATGCCAATATGGTCACAATGATGCATTTAGGTACCGAAATGGAATTGCATGAACATTCACATGGTGGTTATGTAATACAGMGAATCGATAATAAAAAATCTGCGTCGACAAATTTACATTATCGACGTCATCAATTATTTCAACTAATCGATGCAGCCCTATTCAGAACCCTGCCACTTCAAGACCAACTTGCATATTTTTAAACAAATTTAAGACCTTTTAAGGTCTTAATTTTTGATATGTGAATTTAAGACTTTTTAAGGACCCACGGAAACCCTGAGTTCCCAAAAGCTTGAGTGTTTTTAAAAGGGAAAATGGTAAACATTCCTGTCCCAGCTTTATTGGAACGTGTTGCTGGCATTGATTTCAAAATGAGAATATTTGCAAAGACAACAATATAGTTTATTAATTTCAACATGAAATATTATGTCTTTATAGTGTAATCCATTGAATATAGGTTGAAAAGAATTGGCAAATCATTGTGCTCTGTTTTTATTTGTTTTACACAACATCCCAAATCATTGGAATTGGGGTTGCAGACCAAATGTGACCTATGTCTTTTTTTCGGTTTTAATTGGCTCAGTTATTAAATATTCCCATTTTAACTATACAGCAAGACATCTATTGTATAATGTTTTATGGACTGTTTTAGCATTTCTGTATTTGTTATATTTATGGACCTGCCTAATGAATGATGCTTTAGTCTTTTATCTGCCAAAGAACAACACATGAAAAGTAGCTAGTGAGCTAATTCTGGCACATTTGTGGCCTGTCACAAATCCCAATATCCAAATATGGCTTGAGGTTTCCTCTTTCAAATGACGTCAAGAAATCCTCATAAGAATACGATAAAAATAGGATTCAGACCAATGTTCAAGGGCTCATCCTGATTAGGAAGACAAATCAAGCCGTATCTCTGGGACTGCTCATGATATCAGGGTGTATCAGAACACAGCTTAAAAAGCCAAGAATCTGAAAATGTATCTAAGTTTCATTTTAATCCTCAATTCCATGTGACAAGTCACATTTATATTGATGTTGAAATATTGATAGATGTCCTTTTCTATTAAAAATAAATATATAAATCTAGCTTGAGGCACTTTTTATGGACTGTCCTGGACTGTCAGTTTGTTGTAGTTTTGACTGTTTTGAACATCTAAAAATAATCAAAAAGAATAATGTTAATATCATAAAAGAAAGAATTTTTTCAAACCTGACAGAGATATTTACCTGTCTCACGATTTTCGTGATTATGTTACTTTTATTTTTTTCTTAATATCTTCTAGTGTGACATCAAGCGGAGGATAAAAGACCAAAAGAAACTGCAATAACTGCAGAAAATCTAGGCTGTGCTCGCCGGCATTGATAAATAGACTAATGCTGCCACCTACTGAAACTTCTGTCTGAACAATAATGTAACAAACTGTAATAATGGCCCATCACAAAATAAAGGCTTCACAAAAAAAATGCAAACATATATATTTATATTTCAAGTCTGAAGAGCAGAGTGTGAGGGCAAACAAATGCATCGTTGAGGGGGTTCTATCGAGAGAACTTGATGTGACAAGGGAAGATACACAGAACAGAAAACAAGGTCTTTTCTGTCATCAGCAGCGCAAGCAGATGCCCTGGAAATGCCTGGCACAAACARCAGCAGAAGTAGGAGACCATTTTTAGCAACTGCTCTCTTTCAGAAAGAGCTATTCATCACTTCTCAGGCTAAATATAACTAAAATGGATTTAGTCTGTCCCTGTATAACCTGCAAAGCCTCATTTAAAGAGAAATACTCATCTTATCTTTGTGTAAACACATTTGTTTTGGTCCCATTTTCTTTTATTTCCCTTTCTTTTCCTCCTCATCCTGRCTCAGGTCTCTTTGACGGGGTAAAGTGCACTCAAGATGAAAATATTGGTTATAATAATTGGTATAATAGTTAGACCAGACCACATCATTATGTTTTGGTGTGCTAAAGATAGCAGCTTCTAAGATCTGCAGGCAGGGCTTTTAGATGCTTAAGATCATGAAATACTACATGCATTTTTGTGACAAAGTAAAGAAAAGTAGGTACCTTCAGTGTTTGTGTGATGTTAGGAAGTTCGATGTTTACATCTAAAATATTCAGCTTAGTTTGTGCTCAATAATAATGGTTCAAGATGTTTTTTTATAATAATTCATAAAACCTTTAAATTGATCAAAGAAATTAAAGATATAATGCTACATGGACATAACCAACTGACTGTTGGTGTACATTTCCACATTACTGTATTTAAAATATGTATTTTATTTTTACTGTTAGGATCAATTTGTTCCTAGTGTATCAAATTAAAGGTTTATTTTTACTTTGTTTGCAGCTGCAGTAGAACTACAGCTATACTTACTGGGGTCCAGCATTATTACATTTACAAGAAAAATAACATAAAAAATAGAAAATAAACAATTCATTACACTTCCCCTTTACACAACCCATTACAATTAATATTTCAACATACTGTAAAGATGTACATATGTCCACACACACACACACACACACACACACACACACACACACACACACACACAC